AGCCCACTTTTATTTCTTTCCCTTCGAATTTTTTCATTATAATTATTGTTTTATTTCTCATTAGAACACATCACCAACCTGTCCCACAACTTCCTCATGGCATTTTTCACTTCTTTATTCCTGAAAGTGTAAATCAAAGGATTGAGCAGAGGAGTTAGGATGGTGTAAAATATGGCCACCATCTTGTCAAAGGGGGAAGCATGTGGAGGTCTTGCATACTCAATTATGCACGGAACAAAGAACAAAACCACAACAGCAATGTGAGACCCACATGTGGAGAGAGCTTTGCGACGACCTTCAGTGCTATGAGATCTCAGTGAGTGCAAGATGACGCAGTAGGAGATAAGCAACAAGACGAAGTTTATGATGCAGATGAATCCATTATTGGTAATCACAAAAAGACCAAGGACATGAATGTCAGTGCAGGCAAGCTCCAACAAAGGGTAAATATCACATATGAAGTGATTGATGACATTGGGACCACAGAAAGGCAGGTGGAAAGTAAAGAGGATTTGTATCACAGAATGCACAGAGCCTCCTGTCCATGCTACCCCCATCAGGATGCCACAGAACCTCCAGTTCATAATAAATGGGTAGTGCAAGGGCTTGCAAATAGCCACATAGCGGTCATAGGCCATGGCAGTAAGGACAATCATCTCCACTCCAGCAAAGAAGTGTTCAGCAAAGAGTTGGGTCAGGCAGCCCTCGAAAGAGATGATTTTCTTCTCAGAGAGGGAGTCAACAATCATCTTTGGGGCAATGACAGAGGAGAAACATGCATCCAGGAAGGACAGAAAAGCCAGAAAGAAGTACATGGGGGAGGCCATGAGTGCTGGGCTACAGATGATGACCACAAACACTAGCAAATTGCCCCCAACAGTTGCAAGGTAGCCAAATAGTAATAGAGTAAATATTATTTTCTGAACATTTGGATTCTGTGAAAACCCCAAGAGAATGAACTCAGTTACAATGGTTTGGTTTTGCATGATTTCAGAGAAAAAGGTGAAAGCTATCACAGTGACCATGGAGAATCTGAAATTATGAGACTGAGATATTGGCCTCAGACAGTTTATGATATTAATATAATCATCAACAGGTTAGTGCATCCATAAGCAAAGGTATCTTAGGTGCTTCTTTTCTTGTTGAGAACACATAACTAGAATTTGTTGAAGGCAATCATGAGGAATCTGCAAGAATTGAAGTTAAATATTTTTAAATAGTCAGAGTTTTAACATAGGAGAAACATTCATATGTGGTAAGGATGACACATAGATTTTCTCTGAGGTGCCAACTCTAATTTGTAAGACATGGCTACCTAAAGTGAATTGTAAAGGATTCTGAAGCATGGATTCTGAAGTATATCGAAGCTCTGATGAGAGGAGGAGTGGAATATGTTAGTTATACCTTCGCCAGGTATGGCATAGGAGCCAGAATGACTTGCATGGGAAATACATCTGTCAACACTAGATGCCTTATCTACAAATAGAAGAAGAGATAACACCTAGTTTAATAAGGACTTGGAAATCATAC